TCCGTTGTTTTGTACTCATGATTTACAAGTTGTCATAAACAGCAGAATTGAAATATTACTTTCATTACATTCAGCACCACTTCAGCACTGAAGTGCAGCTGATATTTTGTTGAAAAAAAATCATCAAAAATGTGTGACAGAATGCTTTTGTACTATGCAGGATGCTGGTTAAGGGAGGGGATACAATAAGGCCTGTTTGATTCGAAGGTAGCTAGGGGATACGATTAGGGCTGTTTGACCCTGAGGTAGCTAAGGGATACGATTAGGGCTGTTTGACTCTGAGGTAGCTAGGGGATACGATAAGGCCTGTTTGACTCTTGAGGTAGCTAGGGGATACGATAAGGGCTGTTTGACTGAGGTAGCTACATGTAGGGGATACGATTAGGCCTGTTTGACTGAGGTAGCTAGGGGATACGATGAGGTCTGTTTGACTGAGGTAGCTAGGGGATACGATGAGGACTGTTTGACTCTGAGGAAGCTAGGGGATACGATTAGGGCTGTTTGACTCTGAGGTACCTAGGGGATACGATAAGGCCTGTTTGACTCTTGTGGTAGCTAGGGGATACGATAAGGGCTGTTTGACTCTGAGGTTTCTAGGGGATACGATTAGGGCTGTTTGACTCTGAGGTAGCCAGGGGATACAATTAGGCCTGTTTGACTCTGAGGTAGCTAGGGGTTACAATTAGGCCTGTTTGACTCTGAGGTAGCCAGGGGTTACAATTAGGCCTGTTTGACTCTGAGGCAGCTAGGGGATACGATTAGGGCTGTTTGACTCTGAGGTAGGCAGGGGATACGATAAGGGCTGTTTGACTGAGGTAGCTAGGGGATACAATTAGGCCTGTGTGACTCTGAGGTAGCTAGGGGTTACAATTAGGCCTGTTTGACTCTGAGGCAGCTAGGGGATACGATTAGGGCTGTTTGACTTTGAGGTAGCCAGGGGATACAATTAGGCCTGTTTGACTCTGAGGTAGCAAGGGGATACGATTAGGCCTGTTTGACTCTGAGGTTGCTAGGGGATACGATTAGGGCTGTTTGACTCTGAGGTTTCTAGGGGATACGATGAGGGCTGTTTGATTCTGAGGTAGCTAGGGGATACGATGAGGACTGTTTGACTCTGAGGTAGCTAGGGGATATGATTAGCGCTGTTTGACTGAGGAAGCTAGGGGATACGATGAGGACTGTTTGTCTCTGAGGTAGCTAGGGGATACGATTAGGGCTGTTTGACTTTGAGGTAGCCAGGGGATACAATTAGGCCTGTTTGACTCTGAGGTAGCAAGGGGATACGATTAGGCCTGTTTGACTGAGGTAGCTAGGGGATACGATGAGGGCTGTTTGACTCTGAGGTAGCCAGGGGTTACAATTAGGCCTGTTTGCCTCTGAGGTAGCTAGGGGATATGATTAGGCCTGTTTGACTCTGAGGTAGCTAGGGGATATGATTAGGGCTGTTTGACTCTGAGGTTTCTAGGGGCTACGATTAGGGCTGTTTGACTCTGAGGTAGGCAGGGGATACGATAAGGGCTGTTTGACTCTGAGGTAGCTAGGGGATATGATTAGGCCTGTTTGACTCTGAGGTAGCTAGGGGATACGATAAGGGCTGTTTGACTCTGAGGTTTCTAGGGGATACGATTAGGGCTGTTTGACTCTGAGGTAGCTAGGGGATATGATTAGGCCTGTTTGACTCTGAGGTAGCTAGGGGATAAGATAAGGGCTGTTTGACTCTGAGGTTTCTAGGGGATACGATTAGGGCTGTTTGACTCTGAGGTATCTAGGGGATACGATTAGGGCTGTTTGACTCTGAGGGATCTAGGGGATACGATTAGGGCTGTTTGACTCTGAGGTTTCTAGGGGATACGATTAGGGCTGTTTGACTCTGAGGTAGCCAGGGGATACGATAAGGGCTGTTTGACTCTGAGGTATCTAGGGGATACGATTAGGGCTGTTTGACTCTGAGGTAGCTAGGGGATACGATTAGGGCTGTTTGACTGAGGTAGCTAGGGGATATGATTAGAGCTGTTTGACTCTGAGGTAGCTAGGGGATACGATGAGGACTGTTTGACTCTGAGGTAGCTAGGGGATACGATTAGGGCTGTTTGACTCTGAGGTAGCTAGGGGATACGGTTAGGGCTGTTTGATTCGGAGGAAGCTAGGGGGATACAATGAGGGCTGTTTGACTCGGAGGAAGCTAGGGGGATACAATGAGGGTTGTTTGACTCAGAGGAAGCTAGTGTGATACGATGAGGGCTGTTTGACTCGGAGGAAGCTAGGGGGATACGATGAGGGCTGTTTGACTCTGAGGTAGCTAGGGGATACGATCAGGGCTGTTTGACTCGGAGGTAGCTAGGGGATACGATGAGGGCTGTTTGACTCGGAGGAAGCTAGGGGGATACAATGAGGGTTGTTTGACTTGGAGGAAGCTAGGGGGATACGATGAGGGCTGTTTGACTCGGAGGAAGCTAGGGGGATACGATAAGGGTTGTTTGACTCGGAGGAAGTTAAGGGATACGATGAGGGCTGTTTGACTCGGAGGAAGCTAGGGGGATACAATGAGGGTTGTTTGACTTGGAGGAAGCTAGGGGGATACGATGAGGGCTGTTTGACTCTGAGGTAGCTAGGGGATACGATGAGGACTGTTTGACTCTGAGGTAGCTAGGGTGATACGATGAGGGTTGTTTGACTCGGAGGAAGTTAAGGCAAACATAATTGATCTATTCAAGTTGAAGTTCTTTATTACTTTAAGTCGGTTGACTTATCAGTCATAACATATATACAAAACAATACAGAGACAACATACAATATGATACACACACACATACACACACACACACACACACACACACACACACACACA